TCACAGTCATAGATGAACACTGTTATCATGGTGACAGATTTCATACAATAATTTCATCCAATAATTAGCTATGCACATATGATCCCCTAACAAAAAGTTGAAGTCTAGTACACCTTGTGCAGAAACATCCTGAAAAAGAAAATTCAAGTGTTAAAAAGAAAAAAAAAACCGTTGGAGATGCCGGGATTCGAACCCGGGACCACATAAATGCGAAATATGCGCTCTACCGCTGAGCTACATCCCCTTGGTCTTAAGATAGTTGATTAAAGCCTATATGAATGCAGAGAGACTGATCTCCCATTCATAGAGACCTGAAGGGTCTCCTTCATGTAATTTGAATATAATTTACGGCTTCCACTTTAGGGTTTTGATAGGATTTTTAATCACATTTATTGGATGAGAAAATAATCTATTTTCATTCAAAATAGAAAATAATAATAAACCACCTTATGCTATTTAAAACAAGGCAGGATGACAATAAATACTACTTTAAATTATTCAGGCCCATCAATTTAATTCAACTTTATGTTGTAGTATTAGTTCAACTTGACACTATTATGTGGAATAAATAACTTTGTCTTGCTGACTAGCAATATGCTAGGATATATGAGAGTATGTGAAGTTTCCTGAAACCTTTCTTCTCATACCTCTGTTCTCTTTTAAAATATGCCTTAGCTTGCATGGCTTAAACCCTGGCGGTGGTGGCGCACGCCTTTAATCCCAGAACCGGGGAGGCAGAGCCAGGCGGATCTCTGTGAGTTCCAGGCCAGCCTGGGCTACCAAGTGAGTTCCAAGAAAGGCACAAAGCTACATAGAGAAACCCTGTCTCAAAAAAAAAAGTTTTTTTTTTCTTTCTAATTTTGGACAGGCTGGTCATGTGGTCTTTTTCTTTCACGTAATTTATATATTGGATTACATTAGCTGTTTTCTGTATGTTGAACTATGCCTACAATGATCTGATGAAGCCTATTTAATTATGGTTGCTGAACTGTTTGATATGTTATTGGATTTTGTTTGTGAGTATTTGAGTGAGTACTTTAACATCTTTGGTCTGAGGTAAATTGATCTGTAATTCTTTCTTGATTCTTATGCAGTTTAGGTATATGGGAACTGTAGTCTCTTCAATAGAATTGGGCAATGTTCCATCTTTTTCTACTTACTGGAATATTTTGAGGGGTATTGACATGAACTCTTTTTGAAAGTCTGCTATAAGTCTGTTCTAAAATTGTCTTGCCCTGTGTTGTGGAATATTACTTAAAGATGTGATACACTTGTCTATGCTGTGGAACATTTGTTTAATGATGTATAGATGTGTTGTACTCTTTTAGGTTGTATTTGTTTAACTCCATGAAGCTCTGTTACTGTGCCTATCTAAAGCACCTGATTGGTCTACTGTAGAGCTGAAGGGCCAATAGCAAGGCAGGAGAAATAATAGGCTGGACAGCCAGGCAGAGAGACTAAATAGAAGAGAGCAGAATCAGGGTAGCCAGGGGAGAGAAAAGGAGAAGGAGAGGAGGAATCCAGGGGCCAGCCATCCTGCCACACAGCCAGACACAGAATAAGAAAGAAACAAAAGACATACAGAAATAGAGAAGAGTAAAATCCCAGAGGAAAAAGGGAAATGGGGCAATTTCAAATTAAAAAGCTGGCTAGAATAAGCCAAGCTAAGGCAGGGCATTTATAAGTAATAATAAGTCTATATGAGATTATTTAGGAGGCAGGTGGAGAGACCCCAAAGAGTAAATAGTAAAATACCAACTACAGACCTCAGCTTTTTAGTTGGCAGACTTTTAGTGACTCCTTCTATTTCTCTAGTGATTATAGGTCTATTTGTATTGTTTA